GCTATCAAATCATGCCGTCAAACATCCTTTACCTGCGGCCACTGCGGAGAACAAGGACACGCCATCAAGGACTGCACAAAGAAGTCTAACGAACCCAAATGTGCAACTTGCCTGCACTTCAAAAAGCCAGCTGGCCACATGACCGGTGCCACCGAATGCCCTGCAAAGACTATGGCCGAAAAAAGGTATATTAACTCAGTAAACTATGAAGGCGCCTAAGAGCGCTAACACCTAATTGTATTCTTAGTCCTACTCCTAGATTTATATCAACTATGATAAATAATATCATTAGCGATTTAGACCAATTCTCTGTGTCTGACTCTAAGGTGTGTGAAGCTGAAAACTGCAAACAATATCTTTATAGCATCGAAAGCCCACTAACTATACTAACACAAAACATCCGCAGTATTTTTAAGAATTTTGATAGCTTTTCTACACTTTTGCATCGATTAGATATAAACTGTGATATAATGGTATTAACCGAATGTTGGCTTGCTAAACAATATAATATCCCACAAATACCTGGATATAACACATATAGCAGTAATAAAAATTACAATCAAAACGACGGTGTAGTAGTTTATGCAAGGAACCACCTTAATATATCTGTAGAGGAACCAAATATGCACGACTGCAACCGACTATTACTTAAAATCGGATCAGAGATTGCAATACTAGCATTATACCGATCCCCGTCGTTTAAAAACACACAAAATTTTACTAACTCCCTGAATGACGCATTACAGAACCTCTCATCCTTCAAAAATGTAATTGTAATAGGAGACATAAATATTAACATTACGCCTCTGAGTATTGATGCATCTGCTCAGGAATACCTCAATGTATGTGCCCTGCAGGGCCTGCTCCCCACGCATAACTTTCCTACACACCAAAGAGGTTCCTGCTTAGATCACATCATGCTAAAATCGGCTTTTCCCTCGCTTGCACTTGTTACTAACTCATCAATAACCGATCATAACGCTGTCCTACTAACTCTAAATTGTAGTCTACCTAAACAAAATACTCGCTTAATTAACAAACTGCAATTAGATAAATTAGAGGACGATTTACGCAACATCGACTTTGAGCCAGTATATAATTCTGCTGACCCACAATACTGCATGTCGTACGTGATTGAAAGCGTGCGTCATGCAATTCAGCAAAACACAGTACTAACAAAGTTACGTAACAAAAACTATAACATCAAACCGTGGATTACAACTGGACTAATCAGGTGCATGAAACATAGGGACAAACTGCATACTAAGGCTAAATCGAATCCAGACAATACGGATATACAAATATCCTACAAAAGATATCGAAACTTTTGCAACGACCTCCTTAAAAAGATCAAAAGTAAATTCGATAAAACTAAATTAGAAAAGGCTGGCTCAAATAGCAGACAATTATGGAAGTGCATTAAAAATATTACATACGCGTCAAAACAAAGTG